CACAGAGTTCTCCCTCATTTTGGCACAAGTGGAACAGTTACAATAAACAAGTTCTATGCATTTCTTGGTGTAATTTTGAACAGGGGAATTATTTTTATGCCCAGAATTTTTTTCAAGATTGGATTAACAAAGCACCATTCTTTGAAAAAATGTGTTTCATAAGATCGTTTTCCCCTAATTGTTTCATGTTGCACCTCTATTTTCCAACAGTGACATCCTCAAGGATTGCAACAAAATGTACAATCGCTTATAGAAAGTATGGGTGATAAATTCCTATCTTATTTACAACATAAATGCTATGATAAGGCACAATTTGGATTATAGATTATAACTACAAGAAAATAAATGGTAGAAAATGGCTTTTAGAAAGGAGTTAATTAGAAAGGGTTTAATTAGAGATCTTGTTTTGTTTCTACCTATGAAGACACTCAAAAGAATTTGTGTGAGTTCACTCGATGATGATAACAAGCTTTATGTACCAGATGTTGACCCAAAACATGATTGAAGGAATTGCATAGTGTATAATTAACCTCAAAACACAGGGTGGTAGGGAAAACCTTTTGCCTTTGTCAAACCTGTACAATAAGACCAGACCTCCCCCTTGGGAACTGTTTCAAAAAATTGCATACTTTGCAGGCATACAAATAAAAAATGTCTATATTGATGCTTATTTTTGAGTAATAGTTGTTAAATAATGTTTAATTAAACAAATTCAACCTAAAAGATATCTCTTTGTATTTTAGAGAACTTCTCTAAATAAGCATGAATGCAAGATATGTATTCATTGTATTCCCTATAATCTATATTTATACACATTTTAGGGCTAATATGCCTGGTGTTTAAAGGGGCAATGATTGAAGAATGCTTTCAAACAACAAGGTATTAGAGACATTTTTTTCAAGTAAATTTAGTATTATATAATAAATATGTTCTAAAATACTTGTAATATTTTAATATATAATTAATAAAGCTTTGCTTAAAATTTATTTTAATAAATTATACATAGAGGTACTCGTGTATGCTAATGATAAGGAGAACCTATTATCAAATGACTTTTGATATTCAGCATTAATGTAGGTCAATTTAGGGAATTAAAACAAAGGACCCTTATTAATTGGCTGCCTTTTCCTGTGTGTATGGTTGCCCTTTAATTATACATTCAAAAAATTTTGAGGAGTAAAAAAAAAATTCCAAACCGTGGCTATAGTGAACCAAAAGCTCTGTCCCATTGGGGTTCACTATAGAGAAGTTTTACTGTATTTTTAATTATACAGTAAAACCCCACTAATACGAACCCCAGATATAGCGAACATAACGCAATTCCATTCCATGGAAAATACCATCGTTATAATGAACTTTGCGATTTTTAAAATAACGAACCTATTTTGAGTCCCAAAATAATAAAATATATTAAAAATACTAGGCTTATAACGAACTTAAAATTGATATTTAAAAAATTTTAAAATGACAAAATTTTGTGCATGTTTCAACTTGTGGATCATGATTTCACGATTTCAAAACAATAAATGTAGTGGCATTGTTTGTTTTTATTTACCATCTCTTTTTTGTGTATTTTGTATACATTTTTACACATTATACTTTTATTAAATAAAATATCTTTGCAACCATCAAATTTGAAATAGAAAAAATGCAAATGGCTTCCAAAATAAATAAAAAGTAAACAAAAGCATTCTAAAAAAAAAAAATGCTGTTTTCAAAACTTTTCAAAGTGAAACAACACAGGAAAAATTAAGAACATGTTAAAATAAGAAAACAGGCAATTAAAAATTGTTACAAAGAGGAATCAACCTCAACTTTTGCCGCGATCGTACGTGTTAGGGCAAAAAAAACGTCCAAATAAAGAGAGAGAGAGAATATGGTTTTACGGACTACTAACCAAAGTGTGTGATGTTTGAGCCCAATTTACCATAATATTCTAATAAACGGGCCCGCGATGCAACAAAAATTATTTTTTATGCCATGAACAATCGTGATTTTAAAGCCAGCAATTGGCTTGCATGACAAGTCCAAAATAAAATGAATTCTAGAAAAACACATTAATTTTATTTGAAAGGTGCAATGTTGAAGAGTGCTTTGAAGCAACAAGGTATTAGAGCCATTTTTTCAAGTAAATATTGTATTATATAATATGATATGTTTTAAAAAATCATTTTATATCTTTGAATATATAATTAATAAAACTTTGCCTAGGATTAGTCTTGATTTTTAAATTAGACATAGAGGTATATGTATGCTATAAAGAAGAACCTATCATCTAATATATATTTTTTTATTATTCAGTATTAATGTAAGGAAATTGGTCAATTAAGTGAATTAAAACAAAGTGACCACTATTAAGGGGTAGCCTTTTCCTGTGGTTATGGCTGTCCTTTAATAATGTGGTCTAAAAATTTTGAAAAGTAAAAAAAGTAGCCAAACTATGGCTATAGTGAACCAAAAGCTCTGTCCCACTGGGGTTCACTATAGAGGGGTTTTACTGTATATTCAAAATCTTGTTATAACCACAATTTAATTAAACATCATTGTTCTAAAGTTCCATATTTTAGGCCCCAATTGCTTTAACTGCAGTTATAACACAAAAATTATATTATAATATTATAACCATGTTGTTAATCAAAGAAGTCATCCAGTCAAATAATCTCACCCAGAGAGAGGAGGAATGCTGTGGACTTGGCCAGGAGGGAGGAGGACCCAGGCCGGGTGGCAGGGTCCAAGTAGAGTCCCACCAGAGCAGAGAGGGCCTCAGTCAGGAGAAGGGAGGGGCTGAAGGTGGGGGAGCTCTCAGGCTGGCTGACCAGGGTAGTGACCACCTGCCACATTTTCTTGTTAGACCACTCCCATCTATAAGGTAGATGAATGACTTGGAATTTTTCCATTTGTTTGCCCATACAATATTGTAGGAACTATAATATATTAATTGTGAATGTATATTATATATATATATATATATATATCTTCTAAAAACTTTATATATATTTATTTAATATAGTTAATTAGTTCACAAATTAATGTTTCATTAATAGAATATTTAATATATGTAAGTAATCATTCTGTGCATGTGTACATAACTCTCTTGGCTTAATATATTTTTGCTGTAAAGGGTGTTCTGCGCTCCACACAGGAACCTGGGTTATAAAGCTCTCTAAATAATAAGTTTTAAATAAATGGAATATTTATAGCAAAATATTGCAATTGGTGACAGGAATAGAGTAAGTACCCACTTATGCCATTTTGAAAGTAAATATTAAGAGTTAATTTTTATGTTGAAGTTTTAAAAATGAAATTATTGAAAAAAATACTATTATAATTAATTTGAGAAAATGGCTTATTGCACTTTTGGTGAAAATAAAGAAGGGAGTAAAGAATTATTATTAGGGCAATATTTTATTGTGATAGACTGCGCGACATTGAGAATGGAATACCAAGAAAGAGTGGCCAGAAAATAATGCAAATTTCAGGGTAGACGCGCCTCACTGAGTTATGCAAATGATGTGAAATGTGCAACTCTCATGCACATGTAGGTATATAAGGGAAGCAACTTTCAGAAAGGACAGTATTCGTGCCATTACTTTTCACCAAGGAAACTAATTGTATAAATTTTGTCCTGTTTCAAAAGACACGTGTAATAGCAGATAATGCCAGGCCATCGCAAACGGAGGCAGTTCCAGCAGACAGATGCTTTTACAAGGGGCATGGTGATCGAACTCAAGAGGTCAGATAAGAGGTCCATTCTTCAAATTGCAGCTGATACACACCTGGGTGCATCCACAGGACTGTGGAGAGGTAGATAAGGATGCAAATTCGGGCCCAAAGTGTTAAACTGGATAGTAATATACATCTACTTGTGGTCCCATTTTTCTTTGTACTTCTATCATTTTCTATTTTGTTATATCTATTGGTGTAAGAGTGTTTAGATTATGACTATCATTATTATTATTGTTGTTGTTGTAGGAATAGCTATCATCCTGAGAATAGAAAACACTTTGCTCTCTAGAAGCAGTAAAAATATAAAATCTAAACCTTTCTTAGGCTCAACAACATACTCTTGTATTGTTTCAATTTTTTTTTTTTTTTTTTGGTAACCAAATCCTATATCCCTTTGTTTTAGTTGCATACTCTACCATTATATCTCGATTGGCTTTAGATTGAAATTTCTTTTAACATTTGGGATAAACATAGGCTAATGAACCAAAAATTTTGAAATGTCTTATCGATGGTTTATTTTCTAGCCATAATTCTATTGGACTTAGTCCTTTAGTCAAAGCATCTTTACACCTATTTTTGGTATATCACAAAGGTATTCAGGGCTTCTGCCCAAAATCTGGCTTGTAGTCCACTATCAAAAAGCATTGCACGAACACCCTCAATAGCAGTTCGGTTAAATCTTTAAGCAATTCAATTTTGCTCAAGGCTAAAAGTCGATGTTCTTTCTACTTTAATTCCTAAATTTACCTATTACAAAAATCTAAACCATTATCTGTTCTAATATATTTCAACTAGCCGAATGACCCGGGCAACGCCCGGGTTTTACCAGATTAAATGCTTTTATTCAAATACTATTCGTTACAATTATAAATTGGCGCCGTGGATGTCATTCTTGTGAAACGTCCCGCTCCAAACTTTGTTTCTGAGAAGCAATATTTTTATAAAGAGATGATCTGGCTTTGGGTCTTCTGCTCGAATGAATGTTTTTCTGTTAGAATTTTGTTCCTGCATACTAAAAATGAACTGGCTTCACCCGTGGTCTCTGCTTTTTGGAATTTTTCCGGATATAATTTTGTATCTGATAATCAAATATGATACAGCAATATTGTCATAATCATTTTCTGACTAAAAAAAACAACTATTTTTGCCCAGAACCTATCAATTTCAAATTTTCTTGGCTAAAAATGCGACAAATATCTCTTCCATATTTTTTCTATGTACTGTTAAAACACGTTTTACCTGTACATTTCATTTATTTGACATATCGGACGCGATATCCCAGCTCGGGATACTTGCGCCTAAATACATTTAGTAGATTATATACAACGAATGACCCGGGCCGCCCGCGTGGCAGGCGAGCATTCTACCACTGAACCACCGATGGTTATGAAAATTGCCATCCGTGAACTTCAGACAGTGAACTTCACACAGACAGAATAAGGCAATTATATAAGTAGATTTAGTATTTAATGCTCTCTGATTCATTCAAATATTGTTTTAAATAGTTAAAAACTTCTATTTTTTTTTAGGAAATAAAGACTAACCTCTTTCTCAAGTAGTCATCTATGATAGAGAGAAAATATCTATTGCCACCAAGTGATTTCACTGGTGCAGGACCCCAGATATCCATATATATTTTTTCCAATGGCTTTTTAGTCAGAATGTTAAAGTTAAATTTAAATGATGATCTGGTTAGCTTGGCCATTTTACATATATCACAAGTGTTTGGTTTACCTAAAATTTTTTTTTTTTAATCCTTTGACTATATTTCTCTTACTTATAGAATTTAGGATTTCTGAATTATATGACAAAATCTCTTATGGAGAAAATCTAGATTTGGGTTATAAGAAGCTGAATAAGATTGAGACCTATCTTTATTAGGGTATCCGTTAGCTATATACAGTGAAACCCTGCTAATACGAACCTGCTATATTGTGAACCTTCCCTTATAATGAACCTAAGGCGATTCCCAATTCCATTCCATTGAAAATACCATCGTTATAACGAACTTTGGGATTTTTAAAAAAGCGAACTACCCCTATAATGTGATATTCGATAATGACTCACAAATTGTTTACTCTAAAACTGATAAAACAGTCTACACAGCAACGATTATTCTTAACAGTAGCATCAAATATACGACAATTGATAGATTCACTAATTCTTTTTGTACAACTATTTCTATACATTCAGAGAATTCAACTATTGTTATTTCAAACTTCTACATTCACCCTAACAATCTCGGTAATACTCACCAAATATTTATTAAAGAACTTTTGGAGACTTTCGGGCTACAGCCAATAATCCTCTGTGGTGATTTTAACTCTCGACATCCTGTATGGTATGACCGAATAATTAACTCTAATGGCTACAAATTCCACTCTATTGTGGATGAATACAACTTGTTTATTCATAACCTTAAAACGCCTACATGTCAAAATTCCAGTATAATAGATTTAACAATATCAAACAAAAATTCTATAAAGCTGATACAGAATTGGAGCACATCAACATTTACAAGTATTTCCGACCATGTAGAAATAACCTTCGACATTCGATATAATTTTAAGGTGCAGAGAATTGGACAAAAGTCAACATGGAAATTCATTGAAAAAGATGCCAACTGGAAAAAATTTACTGAAGAAATATACAGTAAAACCCCGCTAATATGAACCATGGATATAGCGAACCTTCCCTTATAACGAACCCACGGCGATTCCCAATTCCATTCCATTGAAAATACCATCGTTATAACGAACTTTGCGATTTTTAAAATAACGAACTACCCCTATAATGAACCTATTTTCGGTGCCAAAATGATAAAATCTATTTAAAATACTATGCTTATAATGAACTTAAAATTGTGATTTAAAAAATTAAAACAACAAAATTTTGAGCATGTTTCAGCTCACGCATCGCGATTTCAAAACAAAAAATTAGCGGCGTTGTTTGTTTTCATTTCCATTCTATTTTTGCTGTATGTTGTATAAATTTTTACACATTATACTTTTATTTAATAGAATATCTTTGCATTCGACAATTTTGAAATAGAAGAAAAATACAAATGGCTTCCAAAATAAAGAAAAGAAACAAAGAGTGGCGTTCTAAAAAAAAAAAACAATGGCAGCATGCCCTTTTAAAAGCGTTCTATATCAAGTTTAACCTAGGCTAAAAAATAATTCCAAATAATTTTAAAGCCAGAAATGGTTTGAATAACAGGTTAAAAACAAAATTTAATATACACTTCAGAAGAATATGTGGAAACTGGAATTGGAAGAAGAAGAAAAAAATAAGTTCCCCCAAGTTCCCCGTGTCTCATGGGCCACAAACAAATCGACTTATACGAGGTGTGTTCAAAAAGTATCGCGACCTTTGAATTTTCGGGGGTTACATATATTCGAATTTCGATCTTTTTGTGGCTTTATGTTGGTACTCATGTCTCTCACTTATGCCGACAAGCTCGGCCATTATGAATGTTCACTTAATTGTTGACAGCTGCTTTGCTTGCAGGTGTTTTGGATCGTCTTCGATTTTTACCTATTAAAAAAAATGGATCAAAGAACCTGTATCAAATTTTGTGTGAAAAACAAAATTAACTGTGAATGTTGACTGTGGCATATGGAGAAGCTACCTTGGACTGAAGCAACGTTTATCGGTGGTACAAAATGTTCTCAGAAGGCCGAGAAGATGTGAATGACGAAGAGCGTGCCGGACGCCCGAGCACTTCAACAACAGACGAAAAAATTAATGAAGTGAAGAAAATGATATTGGCCAATCGTCGAATCACCGTTAGAGAAGTTGCTGAGGACCTAAACATATCGGATGGCTCGTGCCATTCGATTTTTATCAATGATTTGGGCATGAGACGGGTCGCCGCGAAATTTGTACCAAAATTGCTCAATTGCGACCAAAAACAGCATCGCATGAACATTGCTAATGAGATGTTGGACTCTGTCCGCGATGACCCAAATTTGCTCCAGAGGGTCATAACTGGTGACGAAGCGTGGGTTTATGGTTATGACGTGGAAACCAAAGCTCAATCATCTCAATGGAAGCTGCCGCACGAACCAAGACCGAAAAAAGTGCGCCAAGTTCGGTCGAATGTGAAAGTTTTGCTGACAGTTTTCATCGATTGCAGGGGCGTGGTGCATCATGAGTTCTTGCCACAGGGTAGAACGGTCAATAAGGAATATTACCTGCAAGTTATGCGCAATTTGCGTGAAGAAATCCGCCAGAAACGCCCGGATTTGTGGAAGAACAAAGATTGGCTTTTGCACCACGATAACGCCCCTGCTCACACATCGTTGCTTGTGCGCGACTTTTTGGCCAAAAACAACGCACTAATGATGCCGCAGCCACCGTATTCCCCAGATCTGGCCCCTGTGACTTTTTCTTGTTCCCTAAACTGAAGAGGCCCATGAAAGGACGACGTTACGCTAGGCTTGACGAGATAAAGATGGCATCGAAGGAGGAGCTGAAAAAGATTTTTAAAAATGATTTTTGAAGTGCTTCGAAGATTGGAAAAACCGTTGGCACAAGTGTATAATATCTCATGGGGATTACTTTGAAGGGGACAAAATAGGTATTCATGAATAAATAAATAAATTTTGAAAAAACACAAAAGTCGCGATACTTTTTGAACACACCTCGTACATTCTCAAAAACTACCACTACAGTTCTATTTTTAGAATGGAATTCTTGTTAGGTATATGACTCATTCAGGGTTCGCAGATATTCCCACTGGCCAGCCGTTTTACCACCAATTTTGTGTTTGAAAATTGGCGTTTTTTATTCGCAATTTTACCAATCGCGATATCGTAACAACATGTTTCACGTTCGATTTTTCTGAATTGGATACTTTTGATTCATCCTCAATTGATTCAGAATACACGGAGCTTTATTTCTTCGATGGAAATAACGATATTTTAAGACAATTCTTATTTTCAAATTTCACTTTTCACTTTCAAACAACAAGGTATTAGAGGCATTTTTTCAAATAAATAGTATTATATTATTTGAGAAAGATGTTCTAAAATACTCTTATATCTTTTAAATATATATTTTAATAATGTTTTGCCTAGGGGATTTGGCTTAATTTTTAAATAATACATAGGTTTATATATAAACATGTATGCTAATGATAAGAAGAACCTATTATCAAATGACTTCTTTTGATATTCAGCATTACTGTAAAGAAATAGGTCAATTTAGGGAATTAAAACAAAGTGACCATTATTAAGTGGCTGCCTTTTCCTGTTTGTATGGCTGTCCTTTAATTATACAGTCTAAAAATTTAGAAAAGTTTTAAAAAATGGCCAAACCGTGGCTATAGTGAACCAAAAGCGGATGTTGACAGGATCGGGATGAAACTTATGGACATAATTAGTGAGGCCGCTTACTCATCTCTGCAAATCAAATCAAACTTTTTCAAGAATATATCTAACTAGCCGAATGACCCGGGCAACGCCCGTGTTTTACCCGACTGTAGATGTTACAACGGTGATCCTTAGGTCGCTGGTTCAAATCCGGCTCGAGGGAGCCGGCGAGCACCTGACTTCCCTGTGCGCGCGCATCCGTGACAGAGGCCGATGAGGAAAGACGGTCGTGACTATATATATATATACATATACATTTTGTGTAGAAATAGGATTAGTTGACTTTATAAGGTAAACTTATTCATACAGTTTGTATCCCTCGATAGCTCATTTGGCAGAGCGGAGGACTGTAGATGTTACAACGGTGATCCTTAGGTCGCTGGTTCAAATCCGGCTCGAGGGAGTTTTTTTTTTTTTTTGGCTGCCGGCGAGCACATGACCTCCCTTGCGCGCGCATCCGTGACAGAGGCCGATGAGGAAAGACGGTCGTGACTATATATAGGGATATTCAAAATTGTACCTTATCAGTAGATTTGGTCTTATTACCTTCTAATCTATAATCCAAATTGTGCCTTATCATTAAGATTTCGTCTTATTACCTTCTGTTTCTAATCTACCAGACGAATGGCCCGGGCAACGCCCGGGTTTTACCAGAGTGCGTATATATTTTAAAAATGTTTTAATTAAAATACTATTCGTTACAATTATAAATTGGCGCCGTGTATGTCTCTCTTGTGAAACGTCCCGCCCCAAACTGTGTGTGTCTTGAAAATATAAAAATAAAATGTGAACGGAAAAATATGTCCAGGGTAGCCTAGTGGTCATGACATCTGCCCGGTAAGCGGAAGGTCGTGGATTCGATTCCCATCCCTTGACACTTTTTTTATTTTATCCATTCTGACCAAAATCTATCCGTGAACTTCACACAGTGAACTTCACACAGACAGAATAAGGCAATTATATAAGTAGATAATCCAAATTGTGCCTTATCACACACTATTTTTTTATTT